ACATGGCTGTGAAACCTGTTTTTGTTTGTTTTTCCCCCACCAACTACATGTCTTTGGTAGAGGGAAATGACCATGTGAATGAAAGTGATTGTTTCTCTGTCCTCATCAGGCCACACTACATGTCATGCTTCTGCTGCCTTTAAGTGTCTAAAATTAACCCTATGCAAAACAATTTCTTTCTCTCAACAGGGACTGGTCTGAAGATCCCACCTGCTGCTCAGCAGGCTCTACAGATGACTGGCTCCATACCCTTTGGGGGCATTGGCGCTCCAGCAGGTGAGCCTAGATGATGGAAGATATTTAGTATTTGATATGTTTTCTTGCCACAGGTTTAGTGACAACTTTTTTTTTTTTCTTTCTTCCAGCTGTTCCAACCCCAGCTCCAAGCCAAGCTTTGAACCTCCCATCTCAGCCACTGGCCACACACTGCCTTCAGCTGTCCAACCTGTTCAACCCACAAGCGTAAGGACATCCTTCAAATAAGTTCACTTTAAGTTTGTCTTAAGCCTTTGCATCCCTGGACTGAGAGCAAAGCATATTGTCAGATGGCTTGTTCAAGTTTTCACTATCAAAGAAGAATCTGACTGTTTTAAATGAGGCATTTAATGTAATTCATTTGTGTTGGAACCAATTTAGTAGAGGTCTGAGTTTTTAACATCAGTGTCCAGTGATTCTTAAGTCATCAATCCTTTAATTCATAATTTTTCTCTACTCTAAACACTTTCGTGTATTCAAAATACCTCTCTCTTATCCGTAGATCGATTTCTGTTCAAAAGTTTGAGACAGAAAATATACACAAGGCAAGTGCTGAACCGAAAACAAGCCAACAACGAAATAATAAACTGGTCACATGCTTGAGCTCTGCAGTGTGCGAGCTTGACAAGTCTGTGTGGTCTCAGTTCCTCCTGTCAGTGAAGAAATCTCTTTTGAAATGACTTAACAGAAAAGTAATGGGGAAAAATCCAACTGTGCGTTATTTTTCAGGCTAATTCTGAATTTTGTTTCAATCTGAAAACAAAAGATGTGCATTCAGCTGGTTTTAAATTTGTGAAACTCATTAAGTTAAAAATCAAGCTTTTTGAGTCAAGCGGAACATTTTACTGGATTTCTAATATTGCTGATTATTTTTGCAGGGAAAATGATCCCAGCTGGGCAGCTGAAATCCAAGATGATGTGATTGAGGAATGCAACAAACACGGTGGAATCGTTCACATTTATGTCGACAAGAACTCTCCTCAAGTAAGTCGAAGATTAAAACGAGATAGTTTTAACATCACTGAGCTTGTTTTGCAACATTTTTTTTGAAATGCACAAGCAGTAAAGTTGATATCTCTCTTGCTCACATAGGGTAATGTGTACGTGAAGTGTCCCTCAATACCAGCAGCCATGGCAACTGTAAATGCACTTCATGGACGCTGGTTTGCAGGTATGCAGCACTGCTGAAGATGGCAGCTATTAACTAGTTTTTAAGCTGCAAATATCTTAGTTCTAATTCAAGTAAAATTTATTTTCTTTTCTTTTTAAATATTCTCGATCAAACTGTAGGTTCTAATGTTTACATTTGTCTTTCTTTCACAGGTAAAATGATAACAGCTGCCTATGTTCCTTTACCAACCTACCACAACCTTTTCCCTGATTCAGTAACAGCAAAGCAGCTTCTAATGCCGTCACGCCGATAGTCAGAGACAAGCTTCTGAAGTCTGTAAATACATTTGTTTGCATTCATGAAAATGTCATTGAAACATTTGCATTGAAATTAGTTGGCTGTGTGTAATAAAAGTGGCCTCAAGTTCACGTTCACCATTTTGGGGGAATTTTTTTTCTTTTTCTTTTTGTTTAGTTGCTTTTCAAATTTTTTGTGGGCTTGTGTTGTAAACTACCACTGAGAAGTAATCTGCAGATATCTATTGGTCTACATGTTTTTAAATATTACTGTCATATCTGCTTGTTTAAATTCAGAACTTTTAGATTTCAAATAAAAGTGCAGAGTTAGAAAAAAAGTGTTGGGATGATGGGCCTTAAATGCCAAAAGTACATCGACAATAATCCTTTGTAACTTTATACAGCCATAATTTCATTTTTGTATGAAGGCTCCCAATAAACTTGGCAAATTTGATGGTTCATTTTCTTTTTGTTACCATTTTGGGGAGTTTTCAATGCCAGGTTAATGCCTCTGTGATTAAAGTCCTAATTACAGTATTGGACCAATGTTTTTACTCATTCCCTGCTATATACATGTCCCAAAAACCCACACATGGATGAGGGATACGTCTTTAGACAAGGCACTCTACCACCTAAACAAAATTAAACATACCTAGGGAATTCCCTCTTGGATGGGCAATCAGAAAACTGGTCATGTGAATTTGGGTTAATTTAGCAAGTTGATAACCAGTGTGATATTAGCACTATCAAATCTAAATGGAGTGTTTCACAGGTCATATGATGAATCTTCCACAGAAAATGATCCATATGACTGCCACCTACTCTGAGAGACATTATCAGATAATGGTAAAATGATGACTGAAAATCTATAAAGAACAGAAAAATGCAACACTGTTGCAAATAAGACAAATTGTCCCGTCTTCCTTCACCCCCTCCAATGACAGGTAGCTGCCCTGGGGTTTCTTCCTGTTAAGAGGGAGGTTTTTTTTCTTCCCACTGTGGCCAAGTTCCTTCTCATAGGGGGTTGTTTGATTGTTCGGGTTTTCTCCACATAAGTGCAGGGTATTTTTTCAATTATAAAGTGCCTTGAGGTGATTAGTGTCATGAATTGGCACTAAATAAATAAAACTGAATTGCAGAAACTTATTGATCCAGTGATTCATCACACAGCAGTTTCAAGTTTGAGCTCTCTAACTTTAAACTGGATCTATTTAAACATGAAATCTTACTGTCCCACAACCTAATAAAGTAGACGACCTTCAGATCAATTCTCTGAAGATTAAAGTAAAATTGATTTAACAGCTAACCTACAATTCCAATAATGTAAAGAGAATCAACCATAGAAAATTTTTATACATTTTCAAAATTAACAAATGAATACACGCGCATTCCCGTGACAGTTCCTGTATAGTTTGAGCTTCATTCAGTGGTTTTAGTTAGGCACATATAATAATCTGTGAAAATGCGGAAACAGCTGATTTTAAACCGAACCTCTGAACACAACCTACTCCCGACAGTTCCAGTTTTGTTTTGTTTTTTAACACCGGAGAGTCTGTGCTGTTCAGGTGTTCAAGAGTAAAGGTTAGTCTATGTACAAATTTGTCAGCAACTACACAGTACTTGTTTGCCGATAAAAGAAAAACGAATAAAACAACACAGTTGCGTCTACGAATCAGTACTTACTACTGATTATCAAGGAAACGCAAAGACACTTGGCGTAACTGTAAACCTTTAGTCCCTCCTACTCTCCCTGTAGAGGCCCTTCCAGAATCTTCCAGAAATGGTGACGCTATTTTCCGGAGCCTTGATTGGTCAGTAGGCGGTGATTTCATACCTGTTACTAAGAGCCCTCGAGTTATATCCATGACTCTGTTGTTACCGTTACCATGGCGCTGTAACCCGGTAAGAAAACATCCCAGTACGTTAAACTCCGGGTTAACGTCAACGTTACCTGGATAGGACAAAATGCGGCTTAGTAGAAGGCCTCCAGTGAAATATACAATAGTAATTCTGAACTCTAAATTATGTAAAGCAACGCGAGTAGAATCCCAAAATGAAAACTTTGCACCTAGCAAAACACGTAAACACGTTGGACTTTGACATATTTTGTCCATGTTCGTCATCTGTGTCCTCATGTTTAGCCTGCCGCGGCCGCTGGTTGGTCGAGCCGTTGGTTGGTCGAGCCGTTGGCTGAACAACCAACTTTAAGTCCAGATTCAAAACCAATTTTTATTCCCTGGCTTTTAACTCTGTAGGAAACTGACACCTTATTTATTTTATTGTATGTAATGATTTTATGGTATTTTTAATTTGGTTGTTGTTTTGATCTGTGTTGTTCAGCACTTTGGTCTGCCTGGTGTGTTCGTAAAGTGCTATACAAATAAACGATGATGATGATGAGCCGCAACATTACTCTGGGCCATACATGGCCAGTCAAACCGTAAGTGGGATGGACCACAAAATATTGCCTTCTAGGCACTTTTTATTGTAGTGTAAATAAGTTCAATTTACACAAAATTACAGAAAAAGCCCGTTACTCAGACCTGGTCCCAGAAGTAAAAAAATAAATAAACTTACTTACACCACCAATTTACTACTAAAAAAGACAAAATGTGATGCAAACATTTAGGACTGAAATTTATGTATTCCCCAGCCATATATTTGGCACACCTTGCCCAAGATCAAGATCATATTTAATGATACATAAATACTTATTTTTATTTAGCCTCACCGTAGTTTTGCCATTTGCTTATTTCACTATTGCTGTGTATGTTTGCCAACCTTGTGACACATACCACACCTTTTGCTTTCAATGGTACTTTAAAGAATCCAATGCTTCTTTGGGTATGCTACAACAGGAAAGCTTCCTCTTTCTAGCAACAGATGAGATTTATGATGCAGCACCCACACAGGAAGTCATACTTCCCATTTTCCTATCAAAATATGTAGAAATGAGTAGTGAGTCAAGCATTTCGCACACCACTGTATTTACCAACAGGTTATATGTCATTTGGTGGTATTCTGCACTCTCCCCAGTAGTCTCAGGACCTGTCCACTTCACATCACAAGAGCTTTTTTTTTCCATCCATAAGTCCATCAAGTCGCGGAATGTTATTGACTTCCTGGGTTCTCTGGTCGTCACTTCTTCTGTGGATGCAGCTTAATTCTTAAGAAATGTTATCTTGTAAGCTGCTCTGCTACTTCTACAGAGCAGGCTGCTTGTGGAGTGTGCAGGACTGTGTTAAAGGCAGGGCAAAGGTGCTCAGTACACTTAAATCCCATTGTAATAATAATAATAATACACTCTTTTTTTAAAAGGACAAATGACACAACACAGATTTAATGCATATATTGGAAACTTTATCATCTAACAAAAGTATTGCAACAACAAAACAGCTTCATCTTCTGTCTCTTTACATCATTGGTTTAATCTTCATAGAACTTTTTCTTTCCCTTTTCCCCCCAAAGTGTGCTCATTTTATAATTTCCCCTCCTCCAGAGAATTGTTGATATCTGAAAAAAAAAAAAAAAAAAAAAAAAAAAAAAAAAAAAAAATGTGAGCAAGACAATTTATCCTCCAGTTCATTCTCACTAAAACACAGCCTCTGACATTTCTTTCACAAACTTTACTTGAGAAATTCCGTAAACTGAAGAAGGCGTTCGTATCACTTGGGATCAAGGAATTTAGCATAGGTTTGTATCATCAAACAACACCTACAATTTATGGCAGGTTCATTTCTGAAAAGCAGCATCAACTGATAGATTTATACTGTCACTGAAGAGAAATACTTGCTAGTGTAAACCTGAACGCTGTATGTTGTAAATTACGGCTGCCATGATTAGTCAACTAGTCACGATTACGTCGACTATCAAAATCATCGACGACTAATTTAATAGTCGACGTGTCGTTTAAAGCTTTGTAAGATCCCAAAAGATGCAGAAGTAGTAGGATTTAAGAGTGTAATAACGGACTGAAACAGAAGATGGCAGCACTGCATGTACAAGGATGCCAGCTGCCGTTAAACCCAGAAGAAGAAGCAGTGTCCGGTGAAGAAGCAGTGTCTGGTACAGTAGCTGTGTCCAAATTCAGGAACTGCATCCTTCTGCACCCACATTTGTAAGCCGATTACGTTACAGCGACACGATGAAGACTGTCCAAATTTGAAGACTCCGACAAAAGCGCCATTCATTTCCCCAGATTTGAAGGATGGGTCGGGTATATACTTCGTGACCCAACCTATCCCAGAATTCATAGCGTGGCCCTGCTCAGTTTCCAACAATGGCAGAAGCTAGTTAGTTTTAATATTACTCTTATTATTCTTTCTGGGTCACAAAATAAACGTTTAACATATTTTCAGGCGAGAATGTAGCTGTGTAAACTTCAAATATCTGCTCAGTTTATCAAGACACCACATATTTTCAAAAGCGCTCCGACGTTTTTGGAGACGTCTGTTACCCACCAGTTCGATAGCTAGCCGGGGTTCAAGGCTCACTAGAGCCGGTGAGAACACCGGTCTCCCAGCAAATCGTTTTCAAACCCACCGCCGTCTTTCGCTACTCAGGTTAACAATGATATACAAGTCACTTGGATAACTTAAAAATGTTATTGTTTGGATTTTTTCAGTATTTTATTTGTTCCTGAGTAAATCGGTTTGGCTGAGATTAAAGTTACAGTTTTTACACAGCTGAATAAACCTCAAGCAGACAACTGATTATCAGAAGTGTGAGATGCTCAAGAATATACTCCAGTGTCCTGTTATATTTTAGATAGCAAGGAGCAGACGGCTGAGATTATTAAACTTCACCGAAACAATCTGCAAATTTCATTAAAATTTAATAAACTTTCATCTTGTCTTTATTTTTAGTTAGCACATACCTTAAACACTTAAGGCTGTAAGCTAATGATAGTTATATAAGAGCAGATGCATGCTGGTGCAATAAGCTGTACGTTTTACATCCAATGGATGCATGATCTGATTAGTCGGCTAATCGTAAAAATAATCGGTGACTATTCGACTATCAAAATAATCGTTTGTGGCAGCCCTATTATAAATATAATGGTGCAGAGAAACAAAAGATGTCATTGCTGACCTTTAAGGCCTCTTCACTGCTTAGGAGAATGTTCCTTCGCCTGGTGAGCCTGCAAGACTGCAATCGCCTCATCCACCTGACCCAAACAGTGGAAAGATTTTTAAAAAAGGGGAGAAAAAAAACAAAAAAACAAACTGAAACAACAGACCTCTTTCATAAATGGCAGGCAACAGCCAGAGAAGTGTTATACTAGGACAAAGACAGGAAATGCAAAAATATCTTGCTTGGCAGTCTTCTTTATGCGATAAAAATCAATTTACCGTAACTCTAAGGCTTACCAAGCATCGACCTTCTCTCCAATAAATACATAAAAATCCAAAAAGTGGAGAAAATTACAAATCAGACTCAGACCTATCTAATTTACCCAACTGGGAACGTAGTGACATTCCAGATGACTGAGAAAGCTATCCAGTCTTTAAGTATGACGTCATGAGTCGTGTCTGGGCCCAAACTCCGCTGCAGGTCCCAAAGTCAAATGATCACTGTGGCATCACTAAGAGTTAAAAAACTGTCTAAATTCTTTCGTATGTAATAAAATGATCAGTGTTGCTGCTCTACCAGATGTAACAATTACGTTTAACATCCAGGCATCCATGAAAACAGAATTTATTAAATTTAACAGAGTTAGAAGTTAGCAGTGAGTTAGCTTGCTAGTTTTCGTCTGAATATAATATACCATGTTCTGACTGAGAGACTTCTGAGACTAATTAAAACGTACAGCTCTGCTATCATTTCCGACATAAATGAAGACAGGAAAGTAAACAGCAGTGACGTTTGTAGGGTTACTGAAAATTGGCTAGCTGGTATATAATGATGTGCTACATGATCGCTAGCGACACAGCTATGTTAGCATATTATAAACACTGAAGCTGGAGGATGAACGCTAACTTTTTTCTACTCTGTAAAAGTTAACGTGAGGGTTCCCGATGGTTCGGGACAAATGCAATCACATGGCAGGATGCTGTAAATGGACCAAACTTCAGCCAGGAGAACAACTGAGATAATCCATCCACAATACGACGTTAGTCATTAATATACTGCTGCATGGGCTGAGCTGTAGTTACATTGTAAGCTTTTAAAAACTGAGCTTTAAAATGAATAGCGGTATTAAAAACAGAGAGACAGACAGTGATCACTTACTGTTTTTGGGGGGTTTTGAGATTAAATAGAACAAGATACAAAGCATTAAAACATGTTAAATGCAGGGTAGTTTGGGTCCGGAAGCAGGATTCATCATGTCATCACTTAAAGACCAGATTGGGTCATCCCCCCCCACCCCTAGTAAAATAATTGCTGGACAGCAGTAGCCTCATTGACAGGTTCAAGAAACCAATATGAGATAATCTGAGCTTTTGTGACATGACACATTAATCTGCTGGAACCAGCCATCAGAAGATATGTACACTATGGTCACTTAGGTAGGCATTTTTTTAACCAATACTCAGTTGGTTTGTCAAGGATATGTCCCACACACCATTACACCAGCACCAGGAGCCTGAACTGCTGATATAAGGCACAATGGTCAAATTGTTGATACCAAATTCTGATACCTATATGCATCAGGCTGACTGACTGCAATCGACTGATTAGATATTTGTTTAACAACTAAATTGTACCTAATAAAGTGGCCAGAGAATATTCTGAGATCAAACTGGACCACGTGTGGCACATTAACTAAAATAAATCTTTTTCCTATAACATGAGGAAGGATGAAGATGTGGAGGTAAACAGGTGGACCTTGACTTCCCTTTTGCTCAAACTACTTCAAAGGGAATAATGACAGCGATGGGCAAACAGAATTCAAAAGTATTTAAAAAAAAATTTCAGCATGGGGTGTCAAAAAGAAGAAAAGGAAGAAATGCTTCTCCCACTTGAGGTTTAGACGTTAAACCGAAGGTTTACAGATATGACTCCGACATCCTGCCGCCACCAATGTGCAAATGCTGTCACTAGAACAAACCAGCACCACCTATTTTCGAGCTATTTTGGTTTCACTGTTGTACAGGGGAAGGAAGTTGTGGCTTATCATCCATCTTTATATACAGTCTAGAGTGCAGACCAGCTCACAGAAAAACATGAACATTAATGTACCTTAGCGTGCAGGGACTCGGGCGACTCCAGCATATGCAGCAGCTCAGAGTTGTCGATCTCCAGCAACATCCCAGTGATTTTACCAGCCAGGTTTGGATGCAGAGTGTGAATCAGTGGGTACAGTCGCTCCCCTGTGTGTCACAGCAGAGACAATGGAATGAAGACAAATATACACAAGCTGTTTCAATCTGCATAGCAGGAAAAAAAACAAAACAGGCAGAACTGACTGATGACAGACCAAGGAGCTGTTTCTGATCCATTGGTGGGGCTGCAGCCAGCACTGAGGCGGTAAGCAGCTCTGGGCCTTGAATGTGTACTGGTGGCTCCATCACCGGTGCAGCAACAACCTGAAGACATCCAGATGCTAATCGCCTAAATTTTTTTGTCTTAAACATATTATAGCTGTAAACACCACCCACGCAGATACCCACACCCACTCACAGAACAAAACAATCCCACAGATTTCTCTCATTTTCAGCTTGTATATCACTGGTTAATTCATGTCAAAATGAAGTAGAAGAAGGGTTGTTTTCCTTAGCTGCGTTTTACATTTTCCAATGACTATTAATGCCCATTTGTTAAGTGAAGCTAAGCCTATATTCAGCAACAATCTAAAATAAGGTTGTCATTTAACCTCAACCTAAGTAACTAATTACACTGCAAGTCATTGTGCACCCTCAGTGCTCCAACTTACTGTCTGGGTTTCACACATTTTTCTTGATCTTCGCTAAGTATTAAAAATAGAAATGATCACAGTGCAAACACTACCTGTAGTCTAGGCATGGGTGCAGGCACAGTAACAACCTGCTGAGGGTTCCTCACTGCTGACGCATACTTGTACTGGCTGCTTCTGGCCACATTGGCAATGTCAGTGCGCCCTCCTACAGTCTGGGTTCCAATGTCATCTAAAGACACAGTCAGCACCATCCACGTGAATGGGACATTTCAAAAGGAGACTGCTTGTCTGCTGCCATAGATCAGGAGCTCACTTGTCTTTTGTGTTGAGGTTACGATGCGTGGCGCCTGGGTGGAAGCCTGTCTGACTGTAGCGATGGGGCTCGATCCACGTCGGGGGACAGAGCCAGAAACCAGCTGAGTGGTGTAGGGGCCTAAGCATGTAGAGAACAATTATATCATACAGTACTGTGCAAAACTCTTGAGTCACCATTAGCTGCCTTTTGGTCTTTGTTCTGTTTCCTGTCAAGATGATCCCACACTGCTTCAATAATGTTGAGGTCCGGGCTCTGCGGATGCCAATCTGACTGGTATTGTTCCACCATGTGTTATTCTATCCAGGTATGCTTTTACTGCACTGCCAGTGTGTTCTGGGATCATTGTCAAGCTGAAAAATTAATCCTAGAGGAATTACTCTTCGCTACAACTTTTACAGATCAATACATTTGTGTGTGTGTGTGTGTGTGTGTGTGTGTGTGTGTATGTATATATATATTTTTTTTTTTAAACCGCTACACAAGTGTAACAGATATTCCCTCACCCTGTGGTCTTGGTGGCTGTCCTGTCCAGCGAGGGACTGGTCTCACATTGCTGACAGCAGTGTGGTTGTAAAAGGAGCGCGTGGGAGGCTGCAGATATAATGCAAATATTAGCACTGGTGCAACTTCAAAATGTCAGAACGTTGGGAGCTGATGCAAATTTGCCCAGACTTAAACAACTGATAAAGCCCAGACTTTATCAGTTCTTTTTTTTTCCCCTAACATTTTGATGACACATTTTGCTGCATTAATAAAATGGCCTATTTTGTTCCCAATGTCACCGTTTAAAGAGCCCTACCTGTGGTAATGTGACATAATATCCAGACTGATGGTATGAGTCGATTAGCGGGCTGGCCATGGTTCTCAAGGTAGCAAGTCTTTGCATGTACTTATTTGTTAGAATTGCTTTACGCTCCTCTCTCCGCTGAGCCAGAGCCACATACAGTGGCTTGGTTGCAACAATTCTCCCATTCATTTCAGTCACTGCTTTTGTTGCCTCCTCAGGGGAAGAGAAACAGACAAAACCAAAGCCTTTGCTTTGGGAGCCATCTGTCATCACCTACAGGAAACAAAACGTTCACAGTCAGAAATCTTTAAGGTTCCTAACACTAAAGCACAAAAGAAAACAAAAGGTAAAACCAGAGACATTATATAAAGAATCTTTAATGGCACTCAATACATCCTGTATGGGGAGGGGACAACAACCCCCCCTCCTCAACAAGACAATTTACAGTTCACATTCAGGAACACCCTTTTCACATATGTCTTTAGGAATATCTACATGTCAACAACTTGATATCACTATAAAAACTTAGGGATCGAACCACCAATTCTCAAGTTAATGAATAACCCGCTTTACCTCCTGAGCCACAGTGCTTTCACGAGATGATCAGAAATGAATTCATGTCAGCAATCTGCATAAATCCATTATTGAAATGTTGTAAAGCACCTTTGTGGAAAATAATAATTTTACAAACATTATTTTGGCACAAAATTTTCTTACTGCTAACCAGTGTTGGTCAAGTTACTTGAAAAAAGTAATTAGTAACTAATTACTTCCCCAAAAAAGTAATCCTGTTACTTTACTGATTACTTATTTTCAAAATTACTTAGTTACTTTTTAAAAACACGATTTACAACCTGAATAGGCAATAAAGCGATAGATCTTTCAGCCCAATTCTACTTTTTCTGCAAAATCCATCATAAAATGTAATCAAATGGAAAAGTCTTTTTAAAACTTGTTTTATTAGTTTTAATCATTTTAACTTTATGCATCAAGCAAACATTAAATTATATGCCACATTCTCTGACTGGAAGAAATTTGTTTAAGATTTAAACCTATTTTCTGCACATTCCAGCACATAAAATAAAATATTTTTTGTGTTTACACTCACTATTTCAAATAAATGCAAGTGAAACACAGCAGAAAATAAATAAAACCAATCCTGCTGCTCTATTTTCACCTGTATAGCAGGCGGATGTTTGCCCTGGTGCAGTTGTGCCGCGGTGGCCAGTGGAAGAATCCGCGAGTTTCTGTGTGAATTTCCCATTCACTGGTAGCACACTCTGTGCTTGTTTGGAAGTTAACGGTTTTTTCGCTGTAAAAAGAAGTTTTCTTCCCACGCAGTGAACAGCGAACACTAATGTTTTTGTCACTTTTTACGGAATCAAACTCAAAGTAAGGTCAGTACTTCCGCGCTTTAAACGCTGCACGCTCATACTCTCTCCCGCACTCCATATATGATCCATTGTTGATCTGCACACAGCTGTTGCCATGAATGTCGCACTCGCTTACGTCATTGTCATGAGACACTCTCACAAAAAAATCAATTTTAGTAACGCAGCGTGCTTATGGGAAAGTACCAGTAATCTAATTACCTTTTTTGCAATAGTAATCCCTTACTTTACTCGTTACCTGAAAAAGTAATCTGATTACAGTAACACGCCCACCTGTGTTGCTAACACAGAAGAGCATCGCAGCTACTGTGAACACACCACCCAGTTCAAAAATCATTCCCTCGCCATAAAAGCTATTAGATTTTAACAGGAACCTTCCAGAAGGAAAAAAGGTTTGGGCATTCATGGATTTGTGTACAAAGAACTTCATTACTTTAGTGGGACATTATCCTGTTACCTCACCTTTGCACTGGTGATGGTGCCATAAGGAGCAAACTCCTTCCGAAGTCTCTCATCGTCGATGCTGTCGTCCAAGTTCTTCACATACAGATTCACCCCCTGGAATTACAAAGAGTTACGTTCCTGTCTTCTCAAGCTCAACAATGTAAAAACACAAACCTAAAAGATGATCAAAATACCATTTTAGTTTTGAGTAATGTTTTGTTCAGCCTTTCCATCAACAGTAAAATGCCCATACACTCAATGGATCAACGTCACAAGTTAAAGCCTATCTGGCTAAAAACATTTCAAAGGAATTTCCTTCTCACCCATGAAATCCAATCAGCTCTGAAATTCTTTCTTTGTGGGCTAAATGCTGCTAAGCTATTTCATCATGCTTGCAGTTATTCAGTTATGTAGTTAAGCACTCCTTCATATCTAGATTAAACATTCCCATCTGACTTTAAGAGAAAGCACTACCAAAATGGTTAGATTGCTTTAGATTCCATTTTGTTGCCATTACAAACTTGATTATTTATAAAACAATGCCTGTGTTTTCTAGTTGGGATGGCCCAATGGACAGGTCTGCCTCCTATCCGGTTCATGACACACATAAATCAATCTAACAAAAGAGCATTTCTGATTCTAACCATTTGGCAATGTCAGCAAAATAATAAAACACCCAATACTCAATACTGAAAAACAATGGTGGAAAAAACATAACTTGAGCCTCATGCTGAACACCCACATATACTGTTTGGATAAATGACAACTTTTCCACTTTCATTTGGAATGATTTTCAAGAAAATGTTTGACTTTACTATGAAAACATCAAGACTGTAAATTAATATCAGATAATGTACTATTTAGGAATGCAAGGAGGAGACCGAGTCTGCCCCACAGCTGACTCCTGATGACCCAGACCCAGGTAAGCAAGAGAAAATGAATGAATGGATTACAAGCACCACTAAGACTTTAAAATATTCAAAAAACATTGCACTATAATCACCTAATAATTAATTCAAAATGATCAACAGTAAGAACCATTAAGTAGTATTCATATTATAGTTTCATGCACAACAGCAGCACCTGATAGCGCTGGATGCGGTCCTGTTTTATTTGATCAAACTTGCGTTTGAGCTCTCCCTGGCGCTCAAGACGCTTCTGAGCCCGCCCTACATAGAGGATTTTCCCATTGATCTCCTTTCCATTCATTTCATTAACAGCCTGGGAAAAAATAAATAGCATAGGGATCATAAACATACAGTGTTACGTACAGTATAAGCGCAACTGGAAAGTATTCAAAGTGCTTCACTTGTTCAATATTTTGCTATTTCAAAACTGATTCATTTTTCATGAAATTTCGTGAAATTCCTGGCACGATCGCCCGTCAGATCTTTCTACACCTTGACTTAAGTCCACCCCTAGTAAATTCAGTTGACTGGACATGATTTGGAAAGGCACGTGTCAGACCACAAGCCAAGCCGTGAAGTCCAAGGAATTTTCTGTAGACCTCCAAGACAGGCCTGAATGCCGAGCATCATGTCTGGAGAAAACCAAGTACCGCCCTTCACCTGCTATGGGGATGGTTTTCAACAACAGGAACAAGAAGACTAGATGCCAGATCTCTGATGACCACCTGCTTCACAGCACTCTGGACCTTGGACTGGGGTAAAGGTTCATCCTCTAATAGCACCACAACCCTAAGCCTACAGTCAACGTAACTGTGGCTTCAGTATTACTTAGCGACTGTCCTTGATTTGACATCTCTGAAGAGTTCTGAAAATGACTGTGCACTGATGCTCTCCATTGAACATGATGGAGCTTGAATGGTTCTGCAAAGAAAAATGGGAGAAACTACCCCAAAATGGATTGCATTTATATAGCGCTTTTCTAGGCACCCAAAGCGCTTTACAATTACACTATTCATTCACGCTCACATTCACACACTGGTGCAGGCAAACCACAGTTGTAGTCACAGCTGCCCTGGGGCAGACTGACAGAAGCGAGGCTGCCATATCGCGCCATCGGCCCCTCTGGCCAACACCAGTAGGCGGTAGGGTAAAGTGTCTTGCCCAAGGACACAACGACCAGGACAGACAGAGCTGGGGGATCGAACCGGCAACCTTTCGGTTACCACAGTCGTCCACTGAAAAGTTCTTATTGTCCAAAAATAGGTGTGCCAAGACTGCAGCATACTCAGAAAAACCTGAGGCTGCAATTTCTACCTAAGGTGCTTCAACAAAGTAATGAGCAAAGGCTTTTAATATTTATGTACTTTTTATATTTTTTTTCTTGTTTTTAATAAATTTGAAAGAACTAAACTTTTTGCAAAACAGGGAATAAGGCTATAAAATGACAAAAATGTGGATCAAGTGAAATGCTGTGAATACATTTCAGAAGCAATGTACCTTTTCAAGAGAAATTCAAAAACTATGATACTCAAAGAATTTAAGGTTACACTTTTCTTTTTTTTTTTACCAACATTATATTTTCCAATTCAAAAAAAGGCCATCCTTTTCTACCTACTTAACTCAAACACTCCTGAACAGGATTCATTCAAGGTGTACAGTGACTGCATTATGATCCATGTGATCTTTTGTTGGGAGAAGTAAGATCTGTGTGCACACAGAAACTTGGTCTACACTACCTTCTGGGCATCTTCATGATGAGCATAGTTTACAAATCCAAATCCTCTTGAACGACCCTTCTCATCCTTCATGACCCGTACACTGAGAGTTCTCCCTGAGACCAAAACCAGACCACGAGATGCAAAGTGATCAAAAATAAACTAAAGGAACAAAAAATAAAATAAAAGCTCACAATATTTTTATCTTACCAAATGCAGAGAAAACTTCCTTTAGTTTCTCATCAGTGAAGTCTTCACCAAAATTCTTGATGTAGACATTGGTGAACTTCATAGCCTTACTGCCAAACTCCACCTCTCTTTCCTTGCGTGACTTAAAGTGGCCAACAAATCTGTAGATGTCATTTAAAATGTTAACCAGAGAGACAGCATTTCGAGGAACAAATAAAAGGAAATTAATTACAGTGTGTTAAATTATCTTTGGCTACAAGACAAATGATTAGGACAGATCAAGAACATCGCAAACAAACAGTTTTGTTCGTTTGTGATGAATACTGTTACCTGCTTAGCCCTAAAATAATTTTATAATACAGATAAAGACAAACCTAGACAGATATCCTACCTATTCACTGACCTAAGGAGATACAACTGACACTTTTCTCCCAGGAAACGGGCCTTTGAGCTGACAATGCCATATCCCAACCGTTTACCCGCCTTTTGACTGAGCAAACAAAAACAAAACAACAACACATGGAAAAATCATCTGCAAAACATGTGGAGTCTTCAGTAGTATTTAACAATTTAAATAGTTAAAATATATTTAAAAGTCACCCACAACATTAAAACCATCTGATTAATATTGTGTATGTCACCTTTATGCTGCCAAAACAACTGGCCCATTGGGACATAATCATGAGACCTATCCCTGAGTGTGTCTTCCATGGAAGGAGCCATGTTTGCCACAGATTGTGAGTGCTCAATTGAACTGAGACATAGGAAGTTTGAGGAACGCCGGTGTGTCCTCCGGGCCACTGAGTGCCACTTCAGGTTTTTGGCAGTTTACATGGAGCCTTAGATCAGAATGAATAGGAATGCTCCATATAAAAAGACCTCGATCCAAATAAACAGGCTTAAATCATCTGAAAAATGTTTTTATATATTGCAGTAGTGGTTTAAAGGTAAGAACACCTCCTCCAAAAATAAATAAATAAATAAATTCACCAACCATTGCAGGCTACACAAAAACACAAAGAGTTGATGACAGTTAAAGTTTGATCTGTAGCATAGCACACAGAAACAAGTGTCTGGTGTCAATGTGAAATGTCACATCGCTTCGTCTACTGAAAATGACTTGCTTTTTCCCCACCAAGTAATGTGAACACTCACATTTAAAAATGTTAGGAGCAACACATAATTACAGCAACTACTGGGGCCTGTTTTATGAAGGAAATTCAATGTACTCTGGAATTGTAAAACTCGTCTCCAGAGAGCCGTTTGGCCATCAGGCACTGGTTTTGTACATGTTAATCTTTTTTGCTGAACCGAAAGTCACGGAAAAGCCACAATGGATAGCCACAGAGGATTGTAAATGTGTGAATTAGTCATTGTTTTTACAGATGTCACACAGTTCTGATTAAATCCATTGGCGCGTGTAAATGTCAGATCACATTATATCATGTATAATGTAAAACAGCTCATTTCAGCCTTAAACTGAAATGAGCTCAAAATGAAGAAAAAAAAAAGGAAAATAAAAAAGGGAGCACATAACCGCAGACAATTTGATGTATCAGTGGTTTAATGTTGTGGCTGATCCTTGTACATATTCTGCTCTAATCTTTGCCTGAGCTTATTTTTGTAGGCTACATTTAACCACTGACTGGAAACAACAGTGGTAAACAATTGAGTATTTAGTTCACTCACACTTTCCTATCATTCAGTAGCATCCCATTCATTGTTTCAATGGCCCGGTTTGCAGCTTCTTGAGTCTCAAAATGAACAAATCCATAGCCTTTGGATCCTTTTTCATCACAAACAACCTACAAGACAAACATTATAATCGGTGCAAATTACAAAGCTTTTGAAAAGTGCCCACTAAATTCATCTGTACTATGTTACAAACACAATGTAAACAATTGCTTTTAACCAAACTGAATGTGAGGAGTAAAATTTGGAAATGGGTTTTAATAACTTAAGTGATATGTGCTGCACTTTGAAATTACACAAGTCCATGATTCTGAAATCTACCATTTCTACCCTCTCAGTGTTTGGAGGAAGACTCTAGTCAGTCACAGTAACCATCAACTTCAGCTGCTTCAGCTCTGAGAGACGGCCCAGGTCACTTACCTTACAGGACAAAATATTTCCAAAGGCTGAGAAGGTGTCATACAGTGCTTTGTTGTCAATAGACTCATCCATGTTCTTGATAAAGATGTTACCCACACCAGATTTCCTGAGTCCTGGGTCGCGTTGAGACCACATTATTCTGATTGGCCGACCTTTGATGACATCGTAGTTCATCGTATCCAGGGCACACTCCGCTAAAACAAAGCAGAAAAATGAAAAGAAATTACTTACAAAAATGTATAATAATATATATTGTATACAGTCCCCTGTCTTGTTAGGTACACCTGTTCAACTGCTCCTTGAGGTAAACATTCAATTAGCCAATCACATGGCAGAAACTCAGTGCACGGAGGCATGTAGACTTGGGCAAGATGTCCTGCCGAAGTTCAAACTGAGCATCAGAATGTGAAACAAATGTGATTTAAGTAACTGGTGATCTGCTGGAATTTCCCCACACAGTCATCTCTAACCATCCAGTTAGCAACAGCTGGGCGAAAACACCATGTTAACTAGGGGCCTCTCCTGTCAACAACTCAGAAAGCTGAGGCTACAAATCACACAGGCTCACCAACACTGGACAACAGAAGACTGCGTGCTCTGATGAGCCTTGACTTCCGCTACGACAGATTGTAATGTCAGAATTCGGAATAAACAACATTAAAATCCATCCTGCCACAAGGAGTGGAGTATGTACCTAATAAAGTGGAGCATATATTCACTATGTTTCCATTGCATGTGTCACTATGGAGAATTAAGCTTATGCTCTAATTTAAGTGGTAAATTCATTCCACTCTGCAGTACTTTAGGTTTAAAATGTGGTTAATAATTTAGTTTACTTAATTTAGTTTATTCAATCATGATATTTTTCCTGACTTCTTTCAGGAAAAGTTATGAAATTTTTGACATTTCTTTGATTTTCCTGCCATTTTATAGACTAACCTCTCATCACAAACACCCCAACTATCATGAATTTGCTGATCGTTTTTAAGGTGTAGTGTCCTTCCTACTTTTAAATTCAGCTCTGAAGACAGTGATCTTTAGAATCACCTCAAAAGTTTGCTCTCATTAGACTGAAACAAGTCTTAACATTTTATAGCATTCACTGAGCAGCAAAAGGTCACAAATCAACCACACTGGTACTGTACCATCAGCAGGTTGCTGGAAGTTTACATAGGCATATCCCAGAGATCTGCGGGTGATGATGTCCCGGCACACACGGATCGACATGATTGGCCCAGCGGGAGAAAACTTCTGGTAAAGCATTGCCTCTGTGACATCAGGGTGCAGGTCTCCAACATACAGAGAAGCAAGAGGATATGCTGGTCCACTGCTGTTCATTTTGGGTAATAGCTGCTTGGAGAAAAACAGTTATGAGTGATTTAGACTTGTTTTTGTTTTGTTTCTTTTCTTGTTATAGTCATTTCTAATGTGCTGCTAAAATTAGATGCACTTCATTGTACTGATCTGCATTGGCAGAAATGTTTTCTTTGTTAATACATCACGTTTGAGAAGTTTTTATTTAGTACTCAAAAGTAGAAGAAATTATGTTAAATGTGTTATGTTATTAAATCAATACCTTTAACTGTGTTTTATCTCATTTCCATGAGATTTAGTGTCAAAGAAATTAATTTTAATGTGTTTTCAATGTCATCTACGTGTGTTCAAACCATTTATTTCAAACAGGGGTGGGAGGAATAACAAAAACAGATCTGCATGATGCAGTTTAACAGTGTCACAAACTACACAGCTTCCAAAATGTCAACACGTGAATCAAAACACGAAAGAATCTGCAGGCCCTGCTCCAGGCCTGACTGAATTAGGTTTGCATTAAGCACGTAAATTGTTAACTCCGTGTCTGAGTGGATAAAGTACTCCAACATAAAAATATTGAAGTGTATCCGAAAGTTAATACAAAGACAACTTCAAGACAAAGCTGTGGAATGTGGACAATTTGGAATCTAAAAATTCCTAACATGGTAAACATTTAAGTGATGAAACTTTAACACGTAGCACATGATTCAAAGCTAAGCGGTAAAATTAGCTGACGCCTGTGTCCTTTGTTTCTGAACTATTCATCAAAGTTAGCTAAGATGAGGAACCGTGTGACTTCGACTAAATAAACTTACATTTCAAGCTACTGCGTCGTACTGGAGATTTCCCGTTAAGCAGCTCGTCGGTACACTTTCCACATGGGCGGGAGCTTGTTTTGATTTAATTAGCGCCGTTGAACACCTGCACCTCCTCTCCGCGCAATAGTTTCAATTAAGCTGTGAGGGGTACAAACATTAAATACACGTCACTCTCCGCGATGCAAAGTAGTTCTCATTAGCATATCAAGCGCTAATCTAATTTAGCTTGCCCTTTGCTTGTAGACAAGAGGGCAATTATAACCCTCACGTACCTTTTTGCTCAATTTCTGAGTTTTTTTTAGGCTTTTGTTTTACGTTTTAATTTTTAAATATACCTGGTGAACAAAAATGAAGACGTAATTTGCCTGTTATCTTAAACGAAACTTTATTTCACTGGATGGTTTTGACACGTTCCTATTTCTTACATGTAGAGTGAAACTAGAATGGTTTTAAGATACATAAACACAAAGCTAGAATTACACCAACCATTGTTTATCTCCATTTCGTCACTGCTTTTCTCGTTTTTTTTTAATAGCTAATCTAAATTTTCACAACCACGTGTGTGCACTGGGTAATAAGACTGTTACAGAAGCAAATTTTAGCCATTAAGACTTGTCAGTAAAAACAAAGCAAGTAGATACCTGATATACAGACAGGCTTCGTTCCACATTCACTAACTGCATTTTCATCAAGCATAATAATAAACTGACATGAATTTTTTTTTCCCCCAACAAATTATATCAATTCATTGGAGCACTGCCAGAGTAAACAGACTGTCAGCTATAATGTGGAATGGTGTCTTCAACTACAAGAGTGTGGAATGTAGTGGTGATAACATGGTATTGTGACACTGAGTTTCTTTTCAAAAGTCATGAAATGGCCTTCTAAACACTTTTAAGGAGACCTGATTTTAGATAATCCGTTAACATCAGCTACCTTTAAACAGCAGATTGATGAACCTGGGCGAAGACTAATAAATATTTAACTATTTCCTTTTAATAAATGGTTTAACTCTTTCTCTGTGAGATTTCATCAACAAGCAGATGCTGCTGTCTAAATGGGGGAGAAAAAAGAAAAAGAAAAAAAAAAAAGCTGCAAGAGAAAGCCAGGCACAAAAACATTTTTTGGAGAAAACAACCGCTTTAAGAGGAATATTTTGCAAGCAGGGTTGATACAGTGTGGTAAGACATTTTCAATTAACATCAATAAAAGGTTACTGTAGGTTTTACATACAGATGATAGTCAATCTTGCAAAATACATGGAACCACATTTACGCACATACAATTTCCATTGTACTGAGGTCAAGCAGCACCTGAACAGTGAGTAAAACTACAATGACAACCCATACCTAGTTCAAAATGAAAAAAAAAAGCACTGCCTTTCCAAAAAGCCTAATAATGTGGAATGTCTTAAATTGAACATGACAAATTTAAGGGGTCCCTCAGAGCTTAAACTGAATTTTGTGAACATGATCAAGGAGCATTACACCAAAATGTCAGTGTCACAATACAGCCTGCCTCCTTTCTGTATGAGCCCACAGCAGAATTGCAGTTAGTTGAATACAGGATTGTATGTCTGAGAATTTGAACAAAAAACGTTTTTTGGGAGGGGGGCTTGTGAAGCAAATGGAATGCCTACCATCACAGTGTTTGGTGGAAATCAACTGCCAGTTTAATTACCATACAATAAAACCTGTAAATATCACAAGGAATCACAAATAATAAACGTAACAAAAAGAAAAAAAAATAATGGGTGGGGGGATGAAAAATGCACAACTAGCAGGGGACCAAGGACTTTGGAAGGACGATTAGATTTCACAATACCCCCCCTCCCCACCACAGACCATACGCACAACCTCTCACATCCACTCACGCTTGCCACACGCAGACTTGCACAAAGCTGACAAAGAACCAAAAAAAATAAAAAATAAAAAAAATAAAAAATAAAAAAAACCAGCAATGTGAACTTGCTAATCAACACATTTTCCACAGAGTGACTGAATCTGCTAACAACTGAAAAAATTACCCTGTCACCTCACAGTGAACTGAGAGGGGTAAACTAGTTGGTCGGAAGCAATTCAGGCTGCTTGTCATACAGAAGTGGGAGGGGCTGATGGAGTGGAGGGGGATGTATATAAGCTGTCTGTGTTTAAGATAAAGAGTGTAGGTGGATTAACAGTGCAATTCCATTAGTTTTCCCCTCCTTCGGTCTCTCCCTCATCTGCCGTGTTTTCTGATGTCCACAGCTGGAAACACAGAGGACAAATGTTAGAGTGCCTTGTGACAGATATGCCCGCATCAATCTGAAACCAAACAGTGTAACTTAAAACTCACAGTCAGGTTGTCCCTTAGTAGTTGCATTATCAGGGTACTGTCTTTGTAGGAATCCTCGTTCAAAGTGTCAAGTTCAGCAATGGCTTCATCAAATGCCTGAAAAGAGTCATTTGTTGTGATTTACACCATAAGTAATAAATTAAATATGCACCAAAAAATATATATTTTAGGTTTTTTTCCTCCCCATCCCCCCCCCAATTCATTTGTTAAAAAGCTCCAAGACATTTTAAAGCTATGCATGTAAGCCAGAGTACATACTGTTTTAGCCAGGGTACAGGCCTTGTCCGGGTTGTTTAGGATTTCATAATAGAAGACTGAGAAGTTGAGGGCCAGGCCAAGCCTAATGGGGTGTGTTGGCTGCATCTCACTCTTGCTAATGTCAAAAGCTTCCTGGTACGCCTTCTGGGAATTATCCACTGTAGCTGTGAAAGCATAAGGAAAAAAATAAATAAAACTATAATGAACCAATTTTCAGCAACTTAAAAGCAGAAAAATTAGACTATGAATAATCTCAAACTGTATTGTAACATTCATTAATATGGCAAAATTTTCTTATTCCACATGGTGCCATCTCTGCATTTACTGTAGACCGGCCACAAAATTTTCTGGCCTTTTCAGCTTGTCTTCAAGTATGTCAGGTTCAACTACATAGGTTTCTTATTTGGAGGGTTTTTTTATTGCTAAAAAGTGCAATCAGCTGTTGCTGAAAACAAAGCTGTTGACAGAACAATAATTTAAAAAAAAAAAAATCAGATAAAAAGCATCATGATTCTGCTCTTTTAAATCAACACATTTAGGGATTTCAGATTACACATTATTGATTAACTTAAAGTTTCTTTCACCACTCTTCAAAAGGACACTGCAGTAAAACAAAGTTATGATGTAAACTGTGTTTTCACTTACTCTTCTTATTATCCCCAGACGCAACCTCAGACAGGTATCTATAATAGTCGCCTTTCATTTTCAGATAGAACACCTTGCTTTCAGGATTAGATGCTTTGGCAATGAGAAATTTGTCCAGTAGCTCCTGAAAACAGCAGTAAAGGTTTGTTCAGATTCACAATAACACGTACCACTTTCACTAGAATCTAAATTGGGACTGAATAATGAGAAATCCTTACAAGCACATCGTTGCAGATTTCTTGCAGCTCAGCTTCTATCTTCTCCCGGTATTCACGTGCCATCTCCTGTTTTTTGTCATTGCCCTCAGTCTTCTGCTCAATGCTGGAGATAACGCGCCAGGATGAGCGGCGCGCTCCTACAACATTCTTGTAGGCAACAGAGAGAAGGTTGCGCTCCTCATTTGACAGCTCAGAGTCTTGCTCTGTCACTGCCTTCATGGCTGAAGCCATGTCATCATAGCGCTCAGCCTGCTCAGCAAGCTTGGCCTTCTGTACCAGGTCGCTCTTATCCATTTTCTAGACTGGGGAAAACAAGACAATATTAGAAACAGCTACAGTTGCAATTCACCAAAACACAAGAAAGAATGTTTCAGGCACATTAGCCATTCACACCTGTGTGGTGTGTGCGTTATCTTAGTTCACACGAACTTGCTTCACCTTGCCGTGGCACACCTGGTCTTAACAGATGAAAACACTTAATTCAATGACAATTCACAGGGTATGCTTTGTGAACTGGGCTCTTTGGCAAGTGGGTCAACCACACTCATCTCTTGCTATGGTTAGCCGCTAGCCAAGTTATTAGCTAACCCTGCTTCGCCCTTACCGTCCCAACCCAATTTCATATTCACGAGTTGAATCAGAACTCTTCGCATATCTAAATATGTCAAACCGTGTATAATTATTTGCTCTGCTGCCTTTTTGGCTCGCTTGACGTTCTTTCGACCGACACTTGCTGTACCAGCGGAAGCCTTCCCGGGTCATGTTTAATGCCCTCCCACAATGTTGCTAGCAAGGCTAGCGAGGATAGTAGATTTTCTAAATCGCGGCTAAACTGGCTTAACAAATACGACAGTGCATATTAGAAGACTTCATATTTTTCGTTCATATTTATAGCCGCTAAACTATCGTATGCGCGATAACCAAAGTAGGAAAAAACGAATGTAGTAGCTAACAGTTCGCTAGCATCGCCGCTAACAGTCACGGCTAGGCCAGCGAAAGCAACCGCGAATTTTTATGTAAAAATACGCGGTTTGGGTGATGGCAGTTAATATTTGTTATTTTAAGTAGTTATTACGAAGGGGAATACTGAACTGCACCGTATTACTTTCGCTTTGATTTCGTTTTAAGTAGCTGTAGCAGGGCCCGCCCTGGCTGCCGAGCCTGTCAGAACAAAGTGTCACGGAATCTCACCGTCCGCTAGCAAGCTAGCAGCTAACGCTAGCTTAGCCTTTCACCAACCGAGCTAGCCGTTATGTTTCGCTTCTCAGTGGGATTCGAACGAACACGATAGAACAGGCTTTCGAACAACGAGCTACCAATGAAAACCTAGTGTTAGCATGCGATATTCATACATTCGAGGTTATTGCACTTACGATTGCGGTGACTTTTAATCCTACTGTTTTTTCTTCTTCTCGCTCGCTCTGTGGACGATTCAGCCTCCGTCCTCCGTCTCACTTAGCGTATCGTTCAGGGCAGTACCACTTCCGCTACACGGGCACTTCTGTTTCCTCTTTTCTCACCGCACATCTGCCTTACGTAATGCAGCCTCTGCTCACACGGTAAAGGCAATCAATGGATCCAAGCGTATTTCTTTATTCAGAATTAATTCAACTGTTTGATACTCTTGCATTACATTGCTACAGTATTCACATATATATACATTCAGCTTATATATGTATACAAGCTAAATGTATATGTGAAAGTCGCCAACTGGATGATTTTGTGATTTAGTACTCAGCCAAAATAAACATTATCCGCACGAGAGGAGCCCTCTTTACCATTTAAATGGGTTACAAGACTATAGACATGTATGATCAGATAATTGGAGGGTCATGTGGGTTTAAATTAAAACAAAGAAACAAAATAATACTTTCCATATTGATGATCAAAGGTCAAGGTCAGCGTTTTTCTCAAGGGCACTTGAGCAAGTCAAGATTTTAATGAGTGCAGGCGCTTGCTTGAACCTGATAACCAAACTGACGACTGAGGTTAATAGCAGCAGATATAAATATAAATGTAAATTTTCTATATATGTAAAAAATTATTCATCTTCTACATATTTTTAAAGCAATTGTTTGTGTTAATAAAGTAAATGTCAACACAACAGTATAACCAGTCTTGTTATTTTCACAGCAAAATAGTATTTATTATTCTTAGTTGCACTCCTGTTTCCTCTATTTGCTCACACTCCACCTTCAATGGCTCTGTGTGCACATCTCCACCCTTCTTAAGTCATATAAGATCATTTTTGTCCCAACTCCAGTAGAAACTGAGGTCAGGCTGTGTTGCATAAGTGCACTTAAAATTGCAAGTTTAATAATACTTTTTCTATTAAATCATTATGCAGATAATTACATCTGTAACCTATTTTTTCCTAATAACTGATGTTCTACAACTACTGTACTAAGGCCTGTCACTCCATTGCGTATGTCTGTGAAGGTTCTCAGTCATCCAGGTCATCGTAGTCAAAGGAGCTTGCAAAGAAAAGCGTCTGGACTTCTTTAAGTTACTTGAAGACGTTTCACCTCTCATCCGAGAAGCTTCTTCAGTTCTAAGGTCAAATGGTGCAGAGTCCCAGATATAAACCTAGTGGGAGTATCCCCCCACAGAGGGACAAAAGGACCCCCTGATGATCCTCTAATCGCCTGAGCCAAGGTGTGAAACTGGGTGTGGGTCCCAATCAGCCAGAGTTTCGGGTGAGTTCATTGTGAAACCTGGCCCCACCTTATCATGCGAATTCCTGAGATCAGATGGCCCAGGATGTGAGTGGGCGTTAAGGCGTCTGGGAAGGGATCTCAAAACTGGATTATAGATGGCAGAGAGTTGGTGTCGTAAACCACCGCCTCTGTTCAAAGATGGTCGCTCACAGTGGACATAGATGGCTTCTTTCACTCCTCTTTCAAGCCATCTGTCCACTCTGTCCAAAATGTGAACATTGGCATCCTCGAAAGAGTGTCCTTTATCCTTAAGATGCAGATGGACTGCTGAGTCTTGTCCTGTGGAGGTGGCTCTTCTGTGTTGTGCCATGCGCTTGTGAAGTGGCTGTTTGGTCTCTCCAGATGCCCAGACCTCTACATTGGAGAGACCAAACAGCCACTTCACAAGCGCATGGCACAACACAGAAGAGCCACCTCCACAGGACAAGACTCAGTAGTCCATCTGCATCTTAAGGATAAAGGACACTCTTTCGAGGATGCCAATGTCCACATTTTGGACAGAGAGGACAGATGGTTTGAAAGAGGAGTGAAAAAAGCCATCTATGTCCACTGTGAGCGACCATCTTTGAACAGAGGCGGGGGTTTACGACACCAACTCTCCTGCCATCTATAATCCAGTTTTGAGATCCCTTCCCTTCCCAGACGCCTTAACGCCCACTCACATCCTGGGCCATCTGATCTCAGGAATTCGCATGATAAGGTGGGGCCAGGTTTCACAATGAACTCACCCGAAACTCTGGCTGATTGGGACCCACACCCAGTTTCACACCTTGGCTCAGGCGATTAGAGGATCATCAGGGGGTTCTTTTGTCCCTCTGTGGGGGGATACTCCCACTAGGTTTATATCTGGCACTCTGCACCATTTGACCTTAGAACTGAAGAAGCTTCTCGGATGAGAGGTGAAACGTCTTCAAGTAACTTAAAGAAGTCCAGACGCTTTTCTTTGCAAGCTCCTTTGACTCCATTGCGTACTTGTGTGCATGTGTGTGTGTGTCTACAGCAATCTCATTTTACGTGTCAAATTAAAATTTACAAATCTTTGCTCAATGAAAAAAAAGGAATTAATTAATCCCATTTTTTCTAATCATTATGAACTTAGATTTAAACTTAGATTTATTTAAAAAACAAAGAAGTAATGTTTTTTGGGGGGGGAGATTAGGTTCAGATTTGAAGAACCTGGCTGTTCATGGTTTTAGGAGCAGCTTCTGCAACGGACTGATCTGATGTATGCTTAGAATAATTTGGAGAGTCTGATCTATTGGAAGTTAAGTTAGTAAATGATGGAACAGTAACTATCAAACTATGTGAAAGGTCGAGGCTGTAGTTAAGGCAAGCTGTTGTGATCAAACAATCAATAGAACTGATCGGGACACGTTTTAGTGGACAGGCACAGGACAATAACCTCAACCACAGCAGTTATTCAGAAAGAGAGTCACTTCTGATAAAGAAGCAGTCCAAATGGATGGAAAACAATCCAAGTAAAAAGATACTCAACAGTTTGCTCTCTCTGCTTCACTGCTGGTAAATCAATCAGTTTTTCAAATGTAATACCTTCATCCAGTACCAAGCTGTTCCCCCAGTAACAGCAGTGACACCCACAGAATTTAACTGTTTCATGCATTGGGTTTACTCAATGGTTTTCTTATGATCCAAAGTTTTCATCACTTACATCCCCATCGAGCTTTAAATGCTCATCTGTTGGACAGAAATAAGGCGACACAATCTTAAAGAGTGACCCGGACCAGTCGATGTGACACAAATACAGCGTGTATTGAGTTAAAACTAGTTTCCTTTTCTTACTCAGCAGTATGCTGGCAGCTTAATAAAAGTGGATGGAAAATTTTCCTTCTCAGATGTACCCCAGATCTCAGCCTAGCAGACAGCTCTGTCCTCCTCTCTCCAGCCACTGAGGCACAATGATACCATTAAGGATTTTAATTTTCACATATGTAATGCTCCCATGGATAGTGTCTTCTGCAGCAAAGGGTGAATACATGGAAGCAAGAACACCTGCAGTAAGAAAGCTTTGGGGGGAGGTTCAAAACTATCTTCAAGGACGATATGCACAAAAGTGAGAGCTAACTGAGATGATTTCTTCTTTTTGCAGAAAGCTACGGTACGTGCGTCGGACTATGGCGTCCTGCAAGACACAGATACTGATGGTGGAGTACTTCCAAAAGCAGAAGGTAAGGTTTATTAAAAAAAAAAAAAAGTTTTCCACAACTCTTTCAAAGCTGATTATGCAACACTTGCAAAGGCATTCTTCCACATTTTTGTGAATGGAGCTAAAGCTCATGTTACGTAATAATGGGACTGATCAAGTGTCCTCGGCTAAACTAGGTGCAGTGCATTTTCAAGTGCATACACAACTGTTTCTAGTTTAGTTGCAGCTAATTAAAGGACCTGTGTGTACACCACATTTATTTTTGTTTTGCTGGATCTTTGTTTTCTTTTGTTTTGGGGTTGTTGTTTTTTTTTTTGGGGGGGGGGGTTTGTTTTGAGAAGTGTATATAAATGATGCCATATGATGAAAAGATGTGTGATCATTTCAGTTTTGCCAACATGTCTACTGTGCGTTTGTCTGAGTGGATCAGTTTACTGCGAGGACGTGTCCCCTGACATGTCAGCCGTGCCAACCCTGCCAAAAGAAACGGCGTATCTCTATGCTCGCTTCAACAAAATCACAAAAATACACAGGGAAGACTTTGCAGACACAGGTAAAACAATACTAATAATTTTAAAAATCCTTTGAAGTATTCTTCTCCTCTTAAGTTTTTACTTCCATTATTTGCATTTTTCAGCTACTTTAAGAAGAATTGACTTGTCTGGGAATCTCATCTCTGAGATAGAAGACGGATCTTTCTCAAAACTTCCCAATCTTGAGGAGCTCAAACTCGCAGAAAACAGACTGACCAAACTTCCCATGCTGCCATCCAAGCTAGTAACTTTTAATGCCAATTTCAACAGGCTTAAAAACCAGGGTGTAAAGGCAAATGCTTTTAAAGTAAGTTGCCAAGTAAATGCCTAATGTTAAACCCCTGCAGAAATCATCATCGCATGTTAAATAGTGGCCTTGTGTTGTTGCAGAAACTCACGAGACTGGCATACCTTTATCTCGGAGACAATGAACTGACAGCCGTCCCCCATCTTCCAGAGTCTCTTTACGTTGTTCATCTGCATGTAAGTTCATCTGTTATTTATTTTGAAAAAACAAACAAAAAAAACTGCAGAAGAAATGAAATTTGTTTTCTGTCTGGAAGTTGTAGCCAAGGTTGTGTTCTTGAATTGATCTCCTGCAGAACAACAACATCTCAACAATAACAGATGAGACGTTCTGCAAAGGAAACACAAGCCACTACATTCGGACCAACATGTACGAGGTGAGACTGGATGGGAACCCCCTGAAGCTGTCGGAGCACCCTAACAGCTTCATCTGTCTGCAGTCTCTCCCTATTGGCTGGTACAAGTGAAACACAAAAGAAACTGAGGCAGACTTTGTGAGTCAGTTCTAGAGCCCGACCAATATAGGATTTTTAAAACTGATACCAATAATTGGATATTTAAAAATCTGATATATCTGCCGATATTTTTTTTCCTTTTGGGCAGACAAAACAAAGATTTCCCTGGCATTTCTTATTTCTAGTTATTCATGAGTCCTTACTAATGTGACAAAGTTGTGGATTTACATTCTGCCCGACTCTGCTCAAATCAGCTGGCTGTTGTGTTCATCACATTTCGAACATATGCTGCCAACAGGAAAGTTGGGGTGTGTCCTC